GTGGAGTGGGGGAGGAAGCAGGCAGGAGGCTGGGAGAGTGGTGGGGGCAGAAAGAGAGAGAAAGAGTGATGAAGTGGGGAGACAGAAAAACAAAGAGAAAGATGACAGGTCAGAAAGAGAGAGGAAGTCACATGGATGAAGGAGAAATAGAGGTAAGAAAAGGGGGGCAGAGGGGAGAAATAGTGTGAGAGAGGTAAGGGATGAGGAGAGGAAGCAAAGTTGTGATGAATGAGATAACCATCCGGCAAGTTTCTTGCGGGTCTCCACTTCTAAATAATAAAAAATAGAAAAATGCAGTCTGACTCCAACTCCTGTCTGAACTTTTTAGAAAGGAGATAGAGATCAGCTGTCTTCCATCAGCTAAAGTAAGAGCATTCTTTACTCAGGAATCCAGGCTTTTTAAAAGTGCTGTAAAAGGGAAAAAATGTAACACCTCCAAATGTTGTAGCATAACTTGCAGCCACCTGCTCTTACAAATAAGTCCCAGAAAATAGGATGAATTTACAGCTGTTCCTATCTGTTTAAACTAATTTTGTCACAGCTTCTACTAAAAAAGAAATGCCTGTTACCCCCTTTTCCTTAATATTGCAAACATGGGCAATAGCCACAGCAACCGGAGAACACATTGATGTGTAGTTATTAAAAACACATAAAAGCCTGCTGTCAAATATCCACGTGGTACAGAGGATGCAGTTAAGGATGTCTGTATGAAAAGACTGGAGGAAACCATGCTTGGGTGATGCTTATAAGAAGATTAATAATCCTGACAAAGAATAACTGGGATAGTTCTTTACACATGCACTCCTTCTCAGTCAGCCTTGTAACTAAACATCTGTACAGCGATATTCTTCTTTTAATGGGAGTCTCTCCTAGACATGGCTGGATATTTGTATCGCAAAACAGAAGCAGATGTGTTAGACTGAGAAAAGTGTAAATTATCTAATTTGAAGGTTATGGATTCCATACTATCCCACTGATACTCTGTGACAATTTCCAATCAAATTGGTCTAAGTCTGTTCAGAGTTATCTGCTGAAAATATGCTTTCCCCCCAGGTGCTCTTATCTTTTGGAACAGACCAAGCAAAAATATTAGTCAAGCAGAGAATCGAGGATACAGAACGCCAAACTGATGTTTCCAGCATACAAAACATTAAGATGAGGGCAAATATAAAAAATACTGTGGGTCCAGCAAACTATTTAACATCTCTTGAAGTAAAAGGGTTTAGAAGAGCCTTCACTCTGGCAAGGTGCTCTGCCCTCCCTTCTGCTGTACTTGAATATTCCTTTCTCAGAAAAGCTTTGTACCTGCCCATTAAGGGAGGTTGAGACTACAGAGCACATGTTTTTTAGATGTCTGTATTATAAGGTGGCGCGTAATAAAATAATCACTCCACTGATTGAACAAATTCCGGGCCTTTCCAAAAAAGCTAGACTCGAGTATCTTCTATCTGATAGAAATTCCAAGATTACCCACCAAGTAGCCAGTTTCTGTATGGTGATACTCAGATCACGGAAATCCTAACGTAGCTAGTTAGATATAACAGTTTGATATTAGACTAAATTTTAATCTGCTTTTAATGTTTTACTGATGTATTTTAAAATCTTGGAATATTGTAAAGGTGTTCTTTTTTTGTATGACCGGTCTAAGGACTGTAGAAATAAACTGAACATACTATCCCATTTCCTAGCTTGCTTGACCTGAGGCTCTCAAGATACAGGGGAACCATAATCCATAACTTCTCCATGCATATATAAGGCAGCTACATCATTTGCCCCCCAAGCCAGAATAAAGAAGCAGACACAAATGTTGGGTCAACTAAAGGGCCACTTTATTAACTAACAATTTTAACTGAAACTGGCAAGGGCAACACGACTTGCAGTATGGTCAAGGACAGGGGTCTGAAAACACCTCCCTTGTCATGTGTCATAGGGCAAGCCACCCTGCCCCGAGCAAGAGCCATCAGCAGAGGCTCAGCCCTGAAGCCCCATCCCCCAAGCTGCAAGGTTCAAAGAGAGGAGTGGGGGTGTACCTGAAGGCAGGGCCCAAGGACTGTACCAGGGCCAACTCACCCACTAGGCAAACTAGGCATTCGCCTAGAGCGCGGTCGACCCTTAGGGCGCCAAACTGGACCTGCCCCCCCCACCAAAGCCTCTCAGACCCCGCCAAAGGACCTGCATTTTTCTGCCTGACTAAGTGACCACCGCCTCCTCTGACTTTTTGCTTTCATTGCGGGGGGCAGGGGGATGTGCACCTCCACTGCTGCTGCCATGCCACCCACCCACAATGCCCCCCTCTGCACCCTCCACAGTCCTCTAGGCACTGGGAAGCTCCACTTCCAGGTATCTGACGGGCGGGAGCTGCTCAGCACCACTTGGGACTCAGCGCCTGAGCACCTGCCACGTGGCCCTCGAGCCTCCGGGTTTGACCACCTTTCTGAGTTGCTGCAGTCGGTGGGAGCCAGCATTCCCCAACTTAGAAGTGGCCTGCTGGCAGTTGGAGCCCAGCAGCACCCCCCCCTCGACTTCAGGCCAAGCGAGGCTTCCCAGCAGAGTAGCTCTCTAGTCCTGGGCTGGCCACCACCACTGCCTCACCTTGGCCAGACAGGTGCTGCTGCCCCTGGAGTCAGAAGTCCCGCTGCCCGTGGGAGCCGCACATCGTCCTTCTCCTCCTCCTCCCCCAGCGCCCTCCTTCTTCCGAGAGTCCCCATCACAGTTTATTAATGAGGGGCAAGAAAAGGTGTCCGGGCAACAGCCACAGGAAATTTGCTGGCTGGATGGGGGGGAGGCGCACCTGGGAATCTCCTCTCCAGGTGTGTGCCAAAGTCGGTCTCCTTCCCTCTTCCCTCAGGGACGGGGAGGGGTCGGGGTGAGGTGGGGAGGACTTAGCCACGGCCCAGTGGCATCCGAAGAAGGCGACGGTGGCAGGGTCCGGGAGCCAGAAGAAGCCAGGCGGAGTGGCTCAGGGAGCCCAGGAAGAGATCAGAGGCAGAAAAATAATGTAGGAGAGGGGGGGCTTAGAGGAGGCAGGGTCTGGTTCTCAGAAAGTGAATAGCACCAACCACACACCAAAAAAAAGAAAAAGAAAGAGAGGGGGGAGAAAGGGAGGAAGGGAGGAGCTTTGTGCTGTGAGCTGGAAGCCCCAAGCACCTGCTCCAGATAGAATTAAAAGGCAGGCGGACTGGTAGGGAGTGTAGATTCCAGTGGGGTATCCGTGTTTGCAGAAGCAAAATGAAATTTGAGTCCAGTTGCCCCTTTAAGACAGGAGAGCAGTCCTGTGTGGGATTACTCCCGAACAGCCCCACTGAACGCAGAGGGTACCGCTGGCGGCAGCCTGGCTGAAGTCTGGTCTGGGAGCTGGAAACAGGATGGGAAGCGTTTGAATTTATGTCTGGCACTGAAAGGGTTAAAGAGGCAAAGTTGTTTGCTATAGGGGTTGAGCATGGAGGAGGGCCTAAAAGAAGAAAGGCTCTTCCGTGGGGGAGCCTCTGAATTGCCGAAGAGAGGAAGACCTACTCATCCCCAAGAGCAGGGAAAAGCCTTGCAGCCGGATGCAGGGAAGGTTTACTTGAAAGTAAGTGGGGGGGAATAAGTTATTAGATCTTGGAAGAGCAGCATGCCTCCGACAGCATCAGAGATGCTGTTATCAATCCTAGGGTTGTCAACTCCTGGATGGCAAATCCCTGGACATTTTGCAGGGGGGGAGCTCAGTGGAGTAAAAGGCCATAGAGCCTATACTTCAAAGCAGGTCTCTCCCCCCCCCCTCTGTCAGCAAGCTGCC